GACCTACAGGTTGAGAAACGCTGGACTAATGGGTCCCATGAGTCCCAGACTCTATGACCCTGAGACCAGAAGAACTAGATGGTTCCCAGCAGCCCCTACCAACCACTCTGACCAGGACTGCCACCTAAGGCCCTGGACAGAGGGAGAGAGAACTGTGGGAAAGGCTTCAAAATCATTTAAAAATTTAAGCCTTATGAGTCTGATAGAGACTGGTGGAACTCTGAGATGCTGGTCATAAGGCATCTTAAACACCTGTCAAGCCTGGCACTGCACCCACTCCTGGAAGCCACTTTGCAGCCCAACCACAGACAGGCCTATACCGTGAACAGTAACACCCACGAGGCACAGACTCCTCAAAACCAGCCACCACCGAGACCAAATGGGCAACGTTTGACCGCAAACAAAGCTCAGAAGACAGAAAGGAGCAGGTACAAGGTGGACAAGCGGAAATGGAGAATGTGGGGAGAGTGCATTCACTGTCGTTAAACAAACAACGTGCATCAGTTGTCGAACAGTGAATCAATTTGCTCTGTAAACATTCACTGGCACCCCAAGAAAAACGAAAACGAAACAAAACAAAATTCTCTCCCTTCCTGGGCACACGCCCCTCCCCCCGCCCCCTCTGCTCCCCGGGCTATGAAACGCAGAGGTTGGACTGCTATGTGGATGTGCCCTGAGTGCCCACTGCCAGCAGGATGGGGTAGGAGAGGGAGAGACCAGGAGCCAGCAGCTAGTCTGTGGGAAAATCTTCCCAGGACCAAGCCAATGCAGTGACCAACACAGGATTCAGCTCTCATCCCTGTCCGGCCCAAACAGCTCTCCTTCGAGGGAGGCAGTTGAGCTTCAGTGAAAATAGTAGATCCTGGAATTGGAAAGGTGCCATCTTGTGTTCTTTTTGCATTCCTATTGTGCTCAACAGAATTGATCAAAGTCTCTGTGTGCGTGAGGACAGACTGGGAAGAGGGCGGTGGGAACATCGGGGGAGACATCAGTCTCCCGCTCCATGCGCCCATCCATCGGATTGCTTCCCGGTGTCTCTGCTGCATCTGGTCCTGACAAAGGCTGGTGGCTCCGACGAAGTGGTTCACACAACTGCCACCAACGCAGTGGAGGGCCTGGAGCCACACGTGTTGCGGTGACAAAGCTCCTACACACGGCCATGGATAC